GGCAAACAGGAGAAGGTGATGGACTCACGCATACCGGTCCTGAAGACCAGGGCTAATATTCCCAGCTCGTACAGATTACCCATGTCGCCACAGTCCTACAGTGAAGCTGTGCAAAGTCAGCCAAGTGGATGTGGCTCCACCCCTGTTAACACGACTAGGTTAACAGATCCGAGTGGGAAAATTGCACTAAGTGAGAACTTCATAACACCCATCCCCATGGTAGACCATGAAACAAATAGGAAGGCCAAAAAGAAACGTTCACGACGTCGCAAGACGACAAGAACGCTCCCCAAGAAGACAGACGACTGCAAGGTCTGTGCTTCTGTTGTCGAACAAGCAGACTCTGCTTTCGAATGTAACTTTTGCAACCGATGGGTGCATTGCAGATGCGACAGTGGGGTACCAAAAGCATATTATGACTTTATGCGTAAAAACCCATGCCAATGGTTCTGGTACATATGCCCGAGTTGCCGTCCTGATGTAGCCTCGCGTAGTCCTTTGAAAACTAAAGATGGCACAGAAGTAGCGGGGAAAAAGGTGAAAAGCTCGACCCCCACCAATCCGGAAGTTAGTACAAACGCGCGTAAACCGGGGATACCAAAATCCTCACCGGTTAAACTTGTAACTCTTGCCATAACCGCTCCAGACACAGAGGCTGGAGAACCACGGGTTTCCGTCGTTGGAAAAAGACCCCAACCGTCTATCAGTAATGCTGGCTATAGCACTGAGACACATAAAAATACCCAGTCGCACCAGTCAAACCAAAACGGTCTTAAAGGTGATCACAAACGTGCGAGGACCGAGCCCAAGCCCACGGTTAGCAGATCAAATTGTGTAATCCTCTTTAATGTACCAGACTGTAGCAGTAGTCTGCTGAAAGATAGGGCCCTATTTGATCAGGAACAGTGGTCCATCTTGAGTAGCACACTGGGTTTGGACATCCAACCAGTAAATCTATGCAGATTGTATAGGGGCACTGCTGCACCTGAAGGCAAACCATCCCCACTGAGGGTAACATTGGGCTCTACCGAGGATGTTGAAAAAGTGTTACTGGCTTCTCAAGTCCTTTCTATAGGGAGGGCCTGTAACATACGTGTTAAGCCAGACAGGCCGTGGAAGGAAAGACAAATGGCGAGGGAGTCGCCAGAGCTCATTCCTTCTGCCTCCATGGTTGTGCATGGCATTCCCGAACTGGTAACTGGGAACGCCTGCGAAAAGCATTGTCATGATGTACAACAATGGAGATGGTTAGCATCCCAGATGGCCCTGGGAAGTTCAGGGGCTGTCTCTATTTATAGACTGCCTCGACCCACTCATCTTATGTCAATTAACTCGCCACGTCTGTTAGCTGTCAAGTTCAGCTCCCAAGACCAGTTGAATACCGCTCTCCATAGATGGTACGAGACCAAGGACAAGGTCAGCAAACACATTCGCTGCTGCGAGAGCCGGCCTCGCACTCAAAGGAGAGAACAAAGCGTAGTAAAAAAAATCCTCAACCCCTAGTCACACTACAGCGGTGCAGCACGGACGATGATAGCCAGTGTCATCCGAGTGCTCCAACTGAACTAGAAGAAAAAAACGCCAACAGGCCGGTTCCTGGGGAATCGGCCAACTAGTTCGTAGGATAACTCCTCAACCGATAGCCAATATCAAGTCAACTACCCCCCAATACGGGGAAGTGGTGAGACTGACTACCAGTTGCCTGTATAGTAATGTGAGAGGGCTAAGAGGCAAAATAGCTGAACTTAGACACCTACAATCACAACTAAACTCCAAAATCATAATACTGACGGAAACCTGGCTAACCCCTACGGTGGCAGACAGCGAAGTCAGTATAAATGATATGGTCCTAGTCAGGCGAGATAGGGACCTGAAAGAAGGAGGTGGAGTCGCCATATACGTCGACAAACAGCTCAGATGTGTTCACGCGATGGACCCTCCCCTCACAGAGCTCCCTGACTCCATATGGTGCCACTTCACCGTTGGGTACTGCAAATATCTAGTGGGCAGCATTTATCGATCACCTTCATGTGGAGCAGACCACAACCAGGTACTGCTAAATACAATCTCAGCAACTCAAGACATGGGTTATGATCAAATTGTCATAGCTGGTGACTTCAATGCCCCATCTCTTAACTTGGTGTCGGGAAAAGCCCATGATAGATTTGATCGAAATCTGCTGCATACCATCAGGAAGGCTGGATTCACTGAAAATGTCAAGATGGATACTAGATGGGGCCCTGATGGGAAGTCTTCTAGACTGGATTACGTGCTCACTAGTGACCAGCTACTAGTGGAAAACGTTCAGATCACGACTCCCATAGGTAGTAGTGACCACGCGGTCATAGTATTCGACATAGTCCTCCGCGAGCGCTTACAGTGGGACAATACACAGCCCTATCTGTGTTATAACAAAGCCAACTACACCAAAATGCGAAGACTTCTGTCTGAAGCAAACTGGCCTAAAAAATGGACAGAGCTAACAGTAGAAGAACACTGGAGAGTGGTAAAGGAATTCATTCACCAGGCGGTCTCAGACACTGTTCCTTTAGTCTCACCAAAAGCTAGGAAGCAACGATCATGGCTGAAAAGGGGGACACAACGCCTTCTGCAGGCAAAGCGAAAAGCCTGGTTCGCGTGGCGACGATCGAAGAGTCAACCCGAATATGAAGTGTACCTTGAACTCAGGAATCGATGTAACATACGAGTCCGGAGCGATAGAAGGACATTTCAGGGAGACCTCGCCAATAAGCTTCTCGTGAACCCCAAAAGCCTATACAGGTTTATGGCCGAAAGAAAACCGACCAACCAGGGAGCATGCAATCTAGTGGGTTCTGATGGGAAATCTCTTACTAGTCTTGAAATGGCAGAGACATTCAGCCTAGCCTTTCACAGGCAACTAAATAGTAACGAGGATATTACCCCTACAGAACATCCAGATTACATCGCAAAACCAACACACGAAAACCTGCTGGGGACATTTCAAATTACCCCGGCTATGGTACTTGCAAAATTGGGAAGGTTGGCTTCGGGAAAGTCTCCAGGTTGTGATGGCATCAGACCATCTGTCCTGAAGCAGTGTTCAGAAAGTCTCTGTCAACCCCTAAGTGATCTGTTCCAACACTCCCTTGATGTAGGGAAACTTCCATGTGAATGGAAACGTGCAATCCTATCCCCTATCTTCAAGGGTGGTGACCGGCAGAATGTGACCAGTTACAGACCAGTTGCTCTACTTCCAGTGGTATCGAAGATATTGGAAAGTCTCATTGACGACCACATGAGAAAATACTTCGATGGGACTAACCTTCTTCACGAAGCACAGCACGGTTTCAGGAGGGGAAGATCCTGCGTGACGAATCTTCTACTAGCCTGGAACGATTGGACACTATCCTGGGACAAAAAGGTACCAGCCCACGTGATCTTTCTCGACTTTGCGAAAGCATTCGACACAGTTCACCATGGTCTGCTCCTTCACAAAATAGGCAAGGCGGGAGTTTCTGGAGCACTTCTCGCATGGCTGACAGATTACTTAGGCGAGAGAGAATTCTGCACCAAAGTCAACCGCATCCGATCATCCTGGCACACCTCGGCATCAGGGGTTCCTCAGGGTTCTATCCTAGGGCCGTTGATGTTTTTGATTTTTATCAATGACCTGCCCCCCCAACTAAACTGCTCTGCGCTTCTTTACGCTGACGACGTAAAGATTTGGAGAGCAATAAACTCATCGGAAGACTCAGATAGATTGCAGGCTGACCTGCAAACTCTGGGAAATTGGGCTTTGGCTAACGGAATGCCTTTCAATCTAAAGAAGTGCAAAGTAGTGCAGCTTCATTCCGGCAGGTCACAGAGTGTAAATTACACCCTTGGTGGCCAGAACTTGAGTTGTGTTCCATCAGAGCGTGATCTAGGTCTTATTCTAACAGAAAAGCTAGACACCAGTGGAAATTACTCGAGGGACGTCGCCAAAGCCTACGCAACATTACACTTTATGCACAGGCAGCTGGGAGCTCTCACTCCCGAACTGTTCTTAAGGCTATACAAGGCATATGTGAGGCCACACCTTGAGGTGCATAATATCATTGCACCTCCGCTACTCAAAAGGGATGCTAACATTCTAGAAAGTGTCCAGAGACGAGCGACAAAATGGGTGATCGGCCTCCGCAACAAATCATATGAGGAAAGACTAAAGAAATTAGGTCTTTTCACACTTAGTTACCGTAGGCACAGGGGAGACCTCATCACCGTCTACAAGATCCTAAATGACCAGGCCCACCCAAATAAAAGCATCCTGCCATTAAGCGATTATAGGCTTCCACGAGGTAACCCGCTAAGGATAGCACACCAGAGACCAAAGACTCGAGTGCGATCACATTTCTTTTCGCTTCGTGTTTGCCGTCTCTGGAACGCTTTACCGGCGGCCGTGACTACAGCGCCATCTCTGGAGATTTTTAAGCGGAAGCTAGACAATCATGCAGAAATGCAAGGTTTGTGTCTCAATGGCTTATCCTCATAAAATTTGAAACCTTACTGTCAATGAATAAGCGTACAAACTAAATCCCCACGACCTATTCTGCCTTCTCTCACTCTATCTTTTCCTTAGGTCACCTTTATTATTCCACTTATCTCAACCTATATTATCTACACTACAACCTATTATTATTATTACTATTCTGCTTTTATGACTACACCGAATGACCAACGGGAGTTAGGTCAAACTCCATTCACGGCAGCAATACAGTCCTAACATACTGCATACTACAAACCACATCTCGACCAATCCCCGCACCACTCCTCCTGGAGTCTACCAGAGCTAAAGCAGTCGAGTGTCGGGACTTACTACGCAGAAGCTCACCGAAGATCTGGAACCTCTACCTCACAATCAAGAAGCGAGCTCAAAGAAATCACTGGTTTATACTAGCTCGTAATCAGGATATTGGATATTGGATACTGCATAAAGGCGGCAAAGTGGACTATTTGCGTTACTTTGTTTTTTACACCCAATGATCCCACCTTCATTCTCAGATCTAGGTAAAGATGCAAGGGATTTGCTTACCAAAAAATTTCATTTTGGACTATACAATTTTCAATGTACTACGAAACACAATGACATAGAGTTTAAAGCCAACATAAGTGATGGACCGAAACCAAATAAAGTAACCTATCATTTGTTCTACTTAATTTCTCCTCAGATGTATTTCGATCTTCAACAGAAGTTATCTTACCCAAAGTATGGTTTGAGTTTGACAAAAAAATGGGCTTCTAACAATGTTGTCGATGCGGAAATAGCTTTTGAGGATAAGTTACTCGATGGTCTAAAGCAAACATTTAAGATATCTCATGATCCCTTTCAAAAGTGAGAAGTGAAAACAAAATTTACAACTTTTTAGGCGATTCCATGCTAATCTAATTAACTGTTTTCGAAATGAAAATGTAAACTCGAATGTTGAAATGTTTTTCAAGTCTGCTGTGCCTGATTTATCACCATCAGTTGTCATTAGGTGAGTATAGAAATAATTGTAATACCTGTTGTTTTTGTGCGGTATTTTCATGCTTTAAAAGTGATGCATTTCCAGAAACCAAGTGTTTTTTAACTTTCAGATAGACTGACCCAAGGTAAAGAAAGAGTAATCATGACAGTTTTTAGCGTTAAATTATGGCTGCTAATTTTCTTTAATGAAACATAAGTACATTTTTCAGGTTAAATTTCCTTTAATGGCATTAACTGATGGATATACCAACTTTTTAGGTTTCTTATTAAGACAGCTAAACCTCGACAGTCTAATTGAATCATGTTTAGTTCACCTACAGATTACAAGCGAGAATTGTAAACAAAGTAAGCATCAGTATTTAAAAAAGAGTTTAAAATTTACTGTGCTTGGATGGATTTTTCTTTTTAAGGCGGCATTGCTTATTGGTTGAGTAACACTTTCGAGTGGTGAAGTTTACTGGTTTACTTAAAGGTTCAACTTAAATGACCGTAATGTCTCAAAAACTATAATTTTATGATTTTAAGTTTTTGACTAGTTTTCACTTGGTCCCATGTTCCCAATAAGCAGTTGATGAAATTTTTAAAAAATAGTGAAAAACCAAGTATTTTAATTACCCGATAGACTTTATCATGAATGGATATCAATTATAGGTTACTAATAGCTACACTGAAATCAATCCAAATTCCAACAAAAGAAATCATAGACCGAAGTATCAATCTTCGGTTCATTCGTAGTCACTGGATGGATATCCTGAAACTGCACAGGAAATACGTGGCCAGTGGTGTCCATCATATCAGGGTGAAGTAGGTTCTCATTGAAGGCATTGTGGTAAAGGGTGGCGCTATATCACGAATTGACGAAGTTAGACTTCATAAATCACAAATTTCCCACCAAAATAGCTTGGTCTCGTGACCTGAAGGTCCCAGGTTCGATTCTTAGTGGGGGTCGCGGTTGCGCACTGTCCAGTAATCTCTAACTGACATCGGTTCTTGATGAGATCTACATTGAAACTGATCCTAATCCGTTGAATAGTCTCATAGTCTCTGGTTTGGAAGTGAAGTGTTAATAATGCATATATCTATGTGAAATAGTGTTACTAAATAGTTGAGTTGTTTCGTCTCTGTAGCACTTATATGTTTCACTATTTCGGTAATTCTTATGTTTTATGTAAAAGTGCTGTCAATTAATGCTGAAATTTTATGGCTAACATTTGATCTTTTATGTCTTAAAGTGATTGCTTTTCATATATTTCAAATGCATATTTTCAACTGCATTCATTACCACGGTTTGATAAAATGATAAAATATGTCCGTGCATGAAACATGTAGAACACTTTTTCTACATTTCATTCTTCATTTGTAAGCTTATGAGAAGGTAGAGTCACTTTACTTTTACGTTTTTTTGGGTGGTTGGTATATTAGATAACGGTCCAATTCTTGTTCAGTAATGTTTTACCTTATTGCCACTATTAGGGTTTGGACTAAAGTTTCCTAGAATGTTTAGGTATACTTTGATTTATTTGTTGATGAATCTGCGCGTATGAATTAATTAATGCTATAGAGATTTGCTAGTTGTCTCTTGCTAAATAAGCTCTCTATGACACAAACTGAGTCCTGGGTCACTAACTGGTCGCATTCCCACTTCTCTAACAGAATACAGTATACCGTATACAAAGGCAAATCCTCCGCTGCTGTGCTCACTGAAGCTGGTATCCCTCAAGGTGCTGTACTCTCCCCACTTCTCTTTTCTTTCTTTCTACCTGACTTACCATCTTCAAATGACATTAATTTCGTTAAACATGTTGACGACCTAACTGTATCTTTGCCTGTCAAGTGTCAAAGTGACTGCTCTAAACTAAATGGCTTCTTATCAGAAATCAGCCAATGGTCCAAGGAAAACGATATCACCTTAAACCCCTCTAGATGTCAAACAGTCAATTTCACCGTTAGGCACAAATCTGACCTAAACAAACTGGTTAGCACTCACGAGGTGTGCAGCATAGATGGCACTGAAATAGAAACCAAGTCGGAAATTAAATACCTAGGCGTCACTCTATTTTCTGATCTTTCCTGGTCGTCTCGTATCTTGATGATTTCTAAGAAAATATTCCATCTTACATTCCACATCAAGAGGTTAAGACATTCTGGAATAACCCAACACTTACTTACTCTTACGATTCGTTAAGTCTCGCATTCTGCCTATTATTCTCTATTGTTCCCCCTTAGTTTTTCCAGGGCCTTATTACGCAGGATGTTAAAGGTTGTCAGCACGGTAAGCTACGTGCCACCTAACCAGCTTGTTAATAAACTCGAGCTATCAAGTCGAGGAGTTGCATCAGTAGAAGGAAGGCAAGATGATAGAGATGAAGATGAAAACAAAGATGAGTGAGTAATAGAGAGGTTTCGCGTGCGTTTCGGATTGTGAGGGCGATTGTTACTTCCCGGCTGCCCACACCGTGGAAGTTGGTTGCGTGACCGCAGAGCCCAGGGGACAACTGCTTGTTAATAAACTGGTTGACAGGCACTTGGACTCATGTGAAAAATGGGCTAAATCCACATTATCTGACTCACACCACCCTCTTCATTCACAAGTCTCCGCTTGTATCTCATCAGGGAGGCAGACCAGAAGCCTTTATAGAAAACTATATGCTCGCACTAGAAAGTACAAAAACTCAACCATACCCTACTTGGTTGACTCGTGTTCTGTGCGATAAAGAAAGCATTAGACGTGAAACTTATAACTTAGTAAGTAGTCAGTAGAACAACTGGATCTCGTCTTTCCAATTCATATCTTTTACAGGTACAACGTTTCCTTTTTTTCTTTTCATTTTCTCTCTTTTTTTCTCTGTTATGTGCTCCTTTTTTTCCACTTACGCCAGTAAATATGCTACCATCTACTTTTCTAACACCTTCAAAGACTGTTCAATTTTTGGCTTTGCTACCGACATGCCAATATGTTGTTGTCATAATGAACTGAGATTTCCTTAATCTATGTAGAATTTTATTTATTGATAATGTACTAACTGGATGCGCAATACTGTAGTGAAATGCTGAGAATTCCATTCTGTATCACAAGTACTGTTTTGGAATGGAGCAAATTATTATTATTAGTTTAGATTATATTTTCCATTGTTGATAAGATTTTCATTTTGATAAATCACACAATGTTGTACAGTAATATTTACTGATGACGACGTTTCGAGCACAATGCAGTAGTGCTCATAATCATATCAAGATACTCCTTCACACAACTTTCTTGCTTCGTTTATATACATGAGTAAAAACTGGTGATTAGGAACTTGAATAAAAATAATTATAAGATAAAGTACATTCACCAACATTGACGTAAATTGCTGTCTACTAATTTTGGCTAGCAGACACCTATCGATAAAATACAAGTTGTGAAATAAGATGTTTTTACAGTAAAATAAATAAATAACTTGTTAGAATGTTATGATGTATTTGAATTGAATTGAATACATTTTAACATTATTTATTATCCTCCTCTGATTTGACTGGTGGTAATAATATCTTCCATATCTCTGGTATTTGTGTCGAGTGATTTCTATTGGATGTGTTGGGTGTAGATTCTTGCGATAAACAAGGATTCAATAATCAACCACCTCTCTCTCTCCACCTACCTATATTACAATTTAGAATTTTGACAGTTCTGACAGGCAATCTCACAACTCCCGATCAACTATTTTGACCTATGTAGTTGATCTTACTCACAGTCATTGCAAGGTATTTTGTAAATTATATTATTTTATTTAATTGGATCAATCTACAGGGTCCTTTGACCTACAGAGCTTGTTCTACTTGAGTGAGTTTGTAGCAGGGTTTAAATGTCACCATAATTCCTGCTTTATTAAGAATCCTACGTAGGCTTTCAGATATCCTAACTTAATTATAATCATTTAACATTTCAGTTGGAGTAAAGCCAAAAGTATAACGAATTTTCATCTCCGGCGACATCCACTATTTCTTTGACTAGGTATCTGTAATGTATTTATTCGGTTAATAAAGTTGGCTGGTCTTTTTTTGTAGTTATTATTCAGTTACAAATTCGATACATTATGGGCATGAAGACATGCACCACAAAACTTTTACTTACTTACTTTACTTCGGCTATCTCCTACGGGAGGATGAGCCGGCTTCATGAACGTCTCGAATCATCGCTGCCCAGGCGCGGCGATCTGAAGCAAGGTTTTGGGATAGGGATATCCAATTCTTGTTCCACATACGGAGTCCGTAGACGGTTTGTAGCCCCAGGCACTCCATATCTGCCTTGACTGTACCAAGCCATGTCTTCAGCTGTCCGCCTCTGCGACATCGCCAAGATGGTAATGGCGAGGGATTTAGAACTGATTTGACCAGATCGTCATCTGGTCGGCGCAGAACATGGCCAAACCACCGAAGGCGGCGTTGTTGGAACCACAAAACCTGTGTATGTGAGGTCTAGGATACTTCCCGGACTCAGACTGAGGTTAGGTGATTCCCTTAGACGGCCACCCTTACCCACCGAGCCTTTAACTAGAAGTCTGATCCACAAGCCAGTGGAGTTGTGTCAGGAGCTGCGTTCCCATGGTTTCCGGTGACGAAACCAGCTTTATGCACCATTCGATCCTTTCGGATTCTGGAATCCATGAATACTGCCATAGGTGTTTGGAATCAGGGTTTTCCATCTCCCCTAGGTAGATCAGTATGTTTACTGATCCACTTGTAAGCGCCAGGTGTTCCCATCCATCCTTTCACTTATGTCAGGAGCAGGTCTGCCGCTTGAAGACAGAGGCTATGAAAGCTTAGCCACATGAGAGAATTTCGACAGAAAGACTGAAGTCTATCCATCCTTGACCGTACCACGTCTTTTTTTCGGGTTGGTTGTTCTTTTTTACTTATGTATTGACTAGTTTTATACATTCCAGTTAATTTCGGGCTACAAAATTTGCCTGTATAATTTAAACATAATTAATATACGGTTGGAGATGCTGTTTTATTCCTTTATGCTCCCAGTCGAACATAGGAGGCTTCAAGCTAGAGGCTTGAAGTTTCGGTAGCAGTGGTGTTTATTTTTACGGGATGGGGTTGCTAGCTAGACTCATGCTGGCGCAACCTTCCCTGTTTACCAGTCTTATTATTGGCTTAGCGAGGTAAAGGAGTGCGTCGGTGGCCGGAAATCACATGGGGCGTGGTCGGTGAGCATTCTACCGCTGTGCCACAGACGCATAGAAAATTAGTTTAAATTTAAGATTATATTTGTTCAGTCCTAGGTGTTTAAACCATCGCTAGTAATTGAATTGATTTCATATTAGTGAAGGAAAGCTCCTCGTTGATAAGTGAATTTTAACTGCTTCTATATGTATATATATATATATATATATATATATATAAGCAATTTCTAAAAAAATATTTCGTATCTTCACCCTCCGACAGATTCTAGAACATAGGAATTCCTACCGGCGTCCAACAGTTGTTATATTTCTTGACCTAAAGGCAGCATTCGACTCTGTCGATAGAGAAGTTCTCTGGAGATGCTTGGCTGTAAAGGGAATTCCAAGAAAATATATTGCACTGATTAAGGCCATCACTCTACTCGTACTCATACAGCCAGGTGAGGGCTTACGGCGAGCTGTCATCTGAACTGATGACGACCAGTGGTGTCCGTCAAGGATGCCCATTATCCCCTTTTCTATTCAACTTCATCATAGATGTGTTAATGGACTTAACCCTAGGTGACTTCAGCGACTCAGGGATTGACTTGTTACCGGGGAATAATCTCGTTGACTTGGAATATGCAGACGATATAGTCCTTCTAGGCGAAGACGCTGTCGAAATGCAGAGTCTTCTAAACACCTTGAGCCGCAATCTACGAATGTTTGGCATGCGATTCGCTCCCGCCAAATGCAAGATGATGTTACAGGACTGGACTACATCGACGCCTAGTTTAAAAATAGGAAGTGAAGTGGTAGAGCACGTTGACCGCTTCACTTATTTGGGAAGTACCATCAGCCAGTGCCAACAGGCTGATCTCTGATGAAATCTCAGCACGAATACAGGGGGCTCGTTTCGCATTTGCCAGTTTACGCCGACTCTGGCGTAGACTAGATGTTCGACTATCGACCCAAGGGCGGGTGTACTGCTCATCAGTCCGCTCCGTCCTCCTGTATGGTTGTGAGACCTGGCCACTGAGAGTGGAAGACATGAAAAGACTAGCTGTCTTTGATCATAGGTGCCTGCGTTCTATTTCCCGTGTAAAGTGGCATAATAAGGTGAGCAACATGGAGGTTAGGCGTAGAGTTCTAGGTAAACAGGGGAAATTAATCGACGAAGTCGTGAAGCTACAAAGACTGAGATGGTTAGGACATGTGTTACGTATGCCAAGTCATCGCCTCCCTCGACGAGCAATGTTAGCGGCTATAGGGTCAGGCTGGAAAAAAGCTAGCGGCGGTCAAACAAAAACTTGGCATCAGTCAATGAAATCCACAACAGTTGGTCTAAGCCACGTAGAAAGGTGTAGACTTCGTCCAGGCTGGGGTCCTCGGGTCGGTAAAAATCTATGGTTGGAAACAATTGGTGACATGGCTCAAAATCGTTCTCAGTGGCGCAGATGCATCCAATCCTTGTGACTTATGATCTCCAATGAAACTGTTTTGTATTTCTTTATTACTCCTTTGTCTCACACCTCTGCTCACTGTTTCTATTATGCTTTTCTTGTACTTTCTTCTCTTGCTTCGCGTGCTACACGGGGTGTGGCGACTTGAACTTCCGCACATTTGTGCAAAGTTCTATGTCGAAAACAGACAGACAGACAGATATAAGCAATTTCTAAAAGAATATTTCGTCTAACTTTTTACGTTAAGAAGTTAATGCACTCAGGCATAACCCAACCACTCCTCTTACAGTTTGTCAACTCGTGTATTTTACCTATTCTTCTTTACTGCTCACCCTTGCTTATTTTTTCTTGGATTGCTTAAAAAAGACTATGTCATACTACGTAGAAATGTGAAGACTGTCAGTAGGACGAGTGGTATCCCATTGAGCCATATCGTTGACATTGTCACAGATAGGCACTTGATGTCATGTAACAAATTTACTGAAGGAATTTTGTCAGACTGTGAGCACTCACAGCAGTACCCGCAGCTCCAACCTTGTGTCTCCTCTCCAGGCAAAACAAGAAGTCTTTTCAGAAAAATTTATGCACGTACGTCTAAGTATAAAAATTCAACTATACCATATTTCGCAGCACGTACTTTATGTGGTGAAAATGGTGTCAGGCATGAACTAACTGACTAACCTTCTTTGCACTACTAAATAAACCATTCCATCCACTATTACACCATCAAACTTTATTGTTATTGTATTTCTTGTATTTATAATCCTCTCAATTTTTCGTTTTTATTTATTTATTTTGCATAAATGTGAACATAATTTAAGCTGTGTTAATAACTGTTAATTTTGTACTTTCCCTCAATATACTATATCAACAAAAACGTTAGATTCAATACTCTATAATAACATGCTAAAATTTCCAAACTGAATCGACAATACTGTTTGAAACAAACTCACTATTATTGTTATTATTATTATTATTTTTAATTATCTCAATTCGTGCTTCGAATATTTTTGACATTATATCGTAAATGTGGACCAATTCCTCTGGTTAATTTTATTTAATAGTTTAAGTAAATCAGATGCAAGGTGTTGTGACAAATGCTGAGAATTCCATTCTGTATTATAAGTACTGTCTCTTTTGGAATAAAGTAAATTATTATTATTACTATTATTATCATATTCATTCTTCATTTACAAAATCCAAGCTATCAAGGATATTTGATTGGTGCTGATGTTAAATTGGACTGTGAAAATCGTATTCTACAAAAGGCTAATTTTGCTATTGGTTATGCTGTACAAGATTTTGCATTTCATGGTTTAATCACCAATTGGGGTAAACAATTTTCAGCCAGTATATTTCAACGGATAACTGATCGAACTCATATAGCAGGTTCAGTAAGTTTTTTTTCTTGCTTTTTATTTACTTGTTTTGATATTTCAGTTGTTTTCTTCCCTAGGTGGTGGTAGTCTACTTCAAGACTGGTTTTCCACGAAATGCTTTACCCCCCCCCACCCCGCCGCCATCCAACTTGAATAGACTTGAAGGTTTGATTTAATAAGGTGAGTGTAATAGTGAGGTTAGGCATCGATCGAGTGCTAGGTAAGGAAGAGGGGAAATTAATCGATGACATTGTGAATTTACATCGACTGAGATGGCTAGGATATGTGCTACGCATGCATCCCTAGCCGTCAGTAGTCTTTCTCGACAACGGGAAATGTTAGCTGACCGACATAGGATGAATCAGGTTGTTAGAAAAGAGCTAGCACATGGTGGTCAAACCAAAAGATAGCGGCATTGGTCAATGAAATCCATAACAGTTAGTTTAAGCCAACCAAGCTACGTAGGGAGGTATAGACTGCCTGTCTGGTTGGAGTCTTCGGAATGGCTGACTGACTGACTGACTGGTTTCAACATAGAACTTTCCAGTGATCTGGCTCAAAATCGTTCTCACCGATGGCTGGCTGGCGCAGATGCATCCACTCCTTGTGACTTATGATTCCCTATGAAACTGTTTTGTTCTTCGTTAGTACTTTTCATTTGTCTCACACCTCTGTTCACTGTCTCTATTATGCATTTCTTCTTACTTTCTACTCTTGGTTTGTGTGCTACATGAAGGGAGTGTGGCGACTTAAACTGCCGCACATCGGTGCAAAGTTCTCTGTCGAAAACAGACAGACGTGGCTAGATGACTGGCTTAAACTAACTGTTATGGTGCCATTGACTGATGAAGTCACGTTTCGGTTTGGCCACCACTGACTCTAATCCAACCCTATTCTGTGCCAGTCAGCTAACATTTCCGATTGTCCAGGAAGACAATGGCTAGGGATGCGTAACACTTGTCCTAACCATCTCTCTTAGTCGATGTAGCTTCCTCTATTGATTTCCCCTCTTTACCTAGCACTCGACCGATGTCTAGCCTCAATATTGCTCACCCTATTATACCATTTCACACGGGAGAGAGAACTCAGGAACCTATGACCAAAGACAACTAACTGACGTCTTCATGTCTTCCACTCCTAATGGCCAGGTGTCACAGCCATAAAGGAAAACGAAGCGGACTGATGAGCAGTACACACGTCCTTCGGTTGATAGCCAGTCGGATATCAACTTTACTCCAGAGAATGCCTAAACTGGCATATGCGAAACTAGCCTTCTGTCTCCGTGCTGATATTTCGTCAGCGATCAACCCATTGGGCCTGATGCAACTCCCCAAAATAGGTGAAGTGGTTAACACGCTCTACCAAGCTAGGAGTCAATGTAGTCCAGTCCTGTAGCATCAGGAGAAGTGTATGAAAGATTGGTTGGTTTTGAGAATATATTCATGAAAGAAGAGAACTTGTGCAATTCTCATGACAGAGAAAAGCCGTTTCTCTTTTGCTGGTATGGACATCTTAGTTGTGCTCATGTAACGACAGAAGGCAAGAGTCAGGCAACAGATCGTTTATTAAGGGAATCAACACATTTTTATAGATTATTGTTAGCTGACAAACAGTTTTCTGATCGGTTGTTTCTCACTAGAAGTTAATCTTTCATCTCTTTGTGACTGTTTCTTGAGTGTCAGGTCATCTATCTGCTGACTGTATCCGCCTATGCTGTCTCTGTCTGGATTCAACACAGAACTTGGCACCGAAGTGCAGCAGTTCAAGTTGCCACGTTCCAAATAGCACACAAAAGTAGACAAGAAGATGAATGAAGAGAATCAATAGAGTTTGACAAGTATAAGAGTGAAACAGAATCGGTAGTGGTAAAAAGGAATATGAAAGATTACAGAGACTGAATACATATGCGCTGGCCATTGACAACGATTTTGAGCCATGTCACCTGTTGTCTCCAGCCATTGATTCCTAGAGTCCCGAGGGCCCCAACCCGGAAGTCTGCATCTCCCTACCTGGCCGACTCAGTTTAACTGTCAAGGATTTCATGGATTGATGACACGTTTTTGTTTGGTCACCCTTTACTCTTTTCCAACCTTCACCTATATCAGCTAGTAATGCCCGTCGGGGGAGGCGATGGTTAGGCATGCGCACGCAGCACGTGACCTAGCCATCTCAATCTATGTAACTTGATAGCCTCGTCGATTGATTTTCCCCCTTTGCCAAACACTCTACGCCTAACGTCAACATTAGTTACCTTATTGTACCACCTAACGTGAGAAAGAGATCGTAGACATCTATGATCGAAAGCAGTCAACCTTTTCATATCTTCAACTCGTATTGGGCATGTTTCAGAGCCATAGAGAAAGACGAGGAGAACTGCTGAGCAGTACACACGTCCCTTGGTTGATATCCGCTTATGCAAAGTCTGCTGTTAGTCTTTGTTCTTGTTTTTACATGACTAATATTTGGGATATAAACATTGAAGTAAATTACTGTCTACCAATTTGGCTAGCAGCCATCTCTCACCACACCCACACTCAATCACCAGCAGTGAAATCTACGATTCTCTGGTCTGTCAGCATTCGCGTCACTGCATTAACGAATAAGTGCAATGTTTTTAACGATTGGTATTTCTCAAAACTAGGTGACTTCGCGATATCGAGTAAACGTCTTCTGCCTGCTGAGAATCTATCGTAAATATTATCTTAGTTAAACCTACAGGTCAACTTTTAACGTATCTATCCGATAGTCAACCATCAATCATTATTAGATTTACCTAAATGGTCAGATGATTAGTGAGTGTATAAGTCACAGCAAAATAAATCTGCCGCGTCTTCGTTTCAGCACAGAGGCTGACCGACTGACTGACTGACTGAGTGGTTTCAACGTAGATGAATCTGCACCGTCCATTGAAAACGAGGATTTTAAGCCAAATCATCATTTATCTCCAGCCAGTTGTACCTGGAATCGAGAGTATCCCAACGAGCCAGTCAGGAAGTCTACACTTCCTTACGTGGCTAGCTGGCTTAAACTAACCATTATGGATTTGAATATATGTGTAAAACTTGCGCACTGTGATATTAAGTGATTCCATATTAGTTTGTTCATTAGATGTATTACACAGTGAAACAGTATTAGTATTTACTGGATGACACAGTTTCGAACACAATCTGTTATTGTGGTTCATAATCATTTCATCAATTATAATCACACGACTTCGAAACTTCAGTCTCATAGTCTTCTTTGTTCTCTCCTATTCGTTGTCGTAGGGGTAGTAGAATTTTCCAGATATCTGACTGGACTGGTGTGTTGAATCATTCCTATTACATGTATCTGCAGTTGATTCGATTATTACTATTTCCATTACCACTATTATTATTTATTTTGTTTTTACATTTCCCTGTATACTTTCTGACTAATTTATTGGAGTAATTATTAAGTTTCAAAGCTTTTCTTATATGCCTCACTTCCTGTTTTAGAGGCATATAAGAGAAGCCTTGAAACTTCATAATTACCCCGATAAATTAGTCAGAAAGTATACAGGGAAATGTAAAAATAAAATAAATAATGATAGTAGCGATAGTAGTGATAATAATAATAATATTAATGACGACATGCATGTCAAGCATGCGCAAGACAACACTAACAATGAGGAATCTAAACCACCAGTAGTAATTCCATACAAGAAAAGAACCTCGGAAACCTCACTCAGAATTCTTAACAAAGCAGGAATAAAAGTGGCTGGCATTCAAACCAACCACAAACTCAATTAGAAACAAGCTTTGTCGGTTAAGGGATCAATCCTGTGGAGGCAATTAGACAAAACAATTTAGTTTACCTAATACCCTGCCTGAAATAATTGTCAGGTCAAATAACACATAGGTCAAACTAGTAGAACAGGTGCAGTCAGTCAGACTAGCCGAGCATGAAAACCTAGCAGCAAAATCTAGATTGGTTGACCCGAATAAGATAAGAATTCTAGAGAATTGTTCAGCTATAGCACTCAGAACATGCATTTACACTCAACCATACAATAGGATGGGAGAGGATGACAGTTTTTTAAATCTAATGTAACAGTTGGGTGGAAGGAGCAGGATTGATAACGGAAGCTTTGTTTATCGAGTCAACTGAAAATACGTGTAGTAGGAGTGATTCAACACCCAACTACCCAGACATCTGGAAAATTCTACTACCCCCCTACGACGACGAATAAAGGTGAATAAAGAAAATTATGAAACTCAAGTTTCAAAATCGTGTGATTATAATTGATGAAATGATTATGAACCACAATACTAGATTGTGTTCGAAACTGTGTCATCCAGTAAATACTAATACTGTTTCACTCTGTGTGTGTGTGATACATCTAATAAATAAACTAATATGGAATTGCATGGAGGATTTAATCATGAGCTGACATCAGTTAGAGAACCACTGAAAAACCTGGGAATACTGGACAGCTGTTTCGTCCTAGTTTGGGACTCTTCAGCAGTACGCACCCGGGACCTTCTGGTTACAAGGCGAGCTCGTATACCATTAAGCCACTGGGACCCGATCCAATGGTCCTTGAATTCTAACTTCTGCCAGTTGACGACATAGCGCGACCACTTCGCAATGTCTTCTTCGATGAGTTACTGCCTCATCTTCAACCTGCTGTACCCTACTGGTCACGGCTTCCCACTAGAATATGGAATTATTATGGATTTCATTGACTGATGAAGCCATGTTTTAGTTTGACTACCGTTAGCTCTTTTCCAACAACCTTATCGATCTTATGTCGGTCAGCTAACATCGCCCTTTATCGAGGATTCTGATTAGGTATCTTCATTAGGTTGAGCTTGATGCAGATATAATTTTTTTTACGTGGACGTTCCAACTGGAGCTAACTGACTAAATAACTAAGTAACTGAACTTTAAAGAATTTATTTTGTTCCAGATTGAAATTGGAATGTGCTCTCATTATTTATTTGAGAAACTTCTTCATAATTGTCTTTGTGTCCTTTTCTTCTGTGAACATACTTTGAACTGACTGACTGACTAAATAAATAATTTTATTATGCCTATTTATAATTAAATACTCCATAAGTTATCTAATAATAATAATTGTCCTTATAAAGATCGATCCACACTTATTGATTGATTTGTTGAACTCGGATTATTACACAACTATCATTTCAAAGGTGAATTGAATTTATTCTTATTTATAAGACAGAAAACATATATGAAGGTAAAATCAACCCTTTACAAAATTCAGTCAATGAAATCCACAATAGTTAGTTTAAGCCAGCTTGTCAGCCATGTAGGCAGATGTAGACTTCCTGACTGGTTGGGGTTGGTTGGGGTCGTCAAGATGGTCATATAAATGAATGATTCAACACACCTGTCTAGGCGGACGTCTGGAAAATTCTACAACCCCTACTACGACTAATAGGAAGGAATAAAGGAAACCATAAAACTTCAGTTGTGTAGTAACAATTGATGATATGATAATGATTGTGTTGGAAGCTTCGTCATCCAGTGAATAATACTGTCTCACTCTATGTGTGATATATCTAATGAAAAAAAAATTAATATCGAGTTACATTCTGTTTTTAACCGCCATGGCGTCGTTGTGGCATGTTATACGTATTTAATCCACTTATAAAAACAAACTATAAGTATTTATTTAATTCAATCTGGACTTTCTCGTTGACTGATTGGATCGAATTGCTCGGCTTTACGTTGACATGTGGGCTCCTTGTGTAGATGCGCTTTGACGATGTCTGATTACTTAACTTGAAGTAAATCAGTGGATGGAGAGGGTCTACCAGTGTGGGATCCGGCCAGGATGCACATTTCTTCCTATTTGGGGACTGGGGAGCTAGATGTACCCGCATTCTCCGGTGAGTGATGGTATCCTCACTGAGATTAGAATTCAGTACCTACCGTTGTAAACGTTAAAGCATTCATTATCCACTAGACCCCTTGGGCCATGAAAATTGTCTCTTGTGTTATTTACTATTTAATTCAATTTGGATTTAGAAAAATACAACAACAGACTGAGCGAAGACAGTTGCTTTCCTTTTCAATTAGCAGTTCCTCATCATCGACTGACTGGCTGGCTCTACACTAATATCAAGTGGTTATTTTAGTTAATCAGTTTTAGATATAAGCGGGTGTGAAATCAAGAGGTTAAAGGTCATCAAAACAATTAACTAACTAATAGATGTTAGTAACAAGATATCTAAGTTTTGAAGGAGGGAGGGGTGAAAATTAATTAATTAATTAGTTACGGCATTCAAGATAAATTGATTCTTAGGCGTTTGCAACAAGTGACTTGCTACAGGACGGACGGGGTTTCCTGGAGTTCTAGTGAGAAGTCGTGACCAGTGAGGTACATCCAGATGTCACGTGTGAGGATGGATGTCCCACGGATGATATTGGTTGGTTCCAGTCGTACTAAATCACGAATTGGTAGAAGTTAGAATTCATGGATCGGCCATTGAATCGGGGCTCAGTGGCTATATGGTATACGACCTTGCCTTGTAACCAGAAGATCCTGGGTTCGAACCCCTGTGGTGGGTGCGTACTGCTGATGATTCCCAAACTAGGATGAAACAGCAGCTGTCCAGTACTCCCTGGTTTTCAATTGGTTCTCTAACTGATATCGATCCGTGATCAACTCGTAAAAAAGTTATTACATAATCAAGAAATTTGTAAAATAGCAGTGGTGACTAGAAAGAATAGGATGACTCAGAAGAGTTACGTAAAATACAAACAAGTTAACAGAATTAGCTAGAATTGTAAAAACTAACAAAATCAGAAGATATTTACAAGAGGAGGGGAAAAATCGTTTTTAAAAACTTAGTACATATGATGTAGTTGACCACTGCAAAGAAAGGGGCTGTACAAAGTTCTTTTGAATACATAGATTTGGCTTATTCAGATAAATTCCGATTGCCTGCCTCTGTTGTATGTAAAAGTCGTACTCGTAGACCATGTGGCGAGGGTTAGGTGATGTACGATAAACAACTTTAAAAGCTTTGTTAGAGTCGATTTGATGTCCAGCATTGACGAGATGAGTTAGTATTGAGCTGTGTATAGCTTTATTCGAACCTTTGCCAAGCGAATATTAGATTATTATTATTATTTCCTTTAATTCTTAGAGGAACATAGGGCTTCAGCCGCCCAAGTCTCCATTGCGTTCGGTTCTCTGCTAGAGTTTCCACCTGGCTCCAAGTCTGCCCACATGCTTTCATCTCCTCTTCACATGACCTCCTCCAAGTCACCCTCACACTGACGACCAACTCGCCGCTTCCCTTTCGGCTAGGTTCCACTCGAGCGATGGCTTGTGTTTAGTGATGTCACTTGATGGTTTCCTCAGAGTATGGCTAGTCCATCTCCACTTCTTCCTGCCTATTTGTTTCACAATCGGTTCCAGCTGTGTTGGTTCGCTGATCGCCAGAGATCCCTGTTGCTGATCTTTTCTGACCGGCCATCTGATCTTGAGCGGAGTATTGAGCGAAGACAACTGTTAATGAAGGTCTGAAGTTTGTTGGAGATGCTCTTTATGACGCGCAGTGCAAGTCTCTGATCCGTATAGTGAGTAGCACTGACTTCATATTGGAGTTGAAAATCCGGATATTATATTCGTTTTGATGCTGAGTGCTGTTGAGCTCCACACAGACTTAAGAGTAGTGAAAGCTTGTCTTGCTTTTCCGATTCTGGCTTTGATATCCTCTTCAGTTACGCTAGCTTGTAGTTGAAACGATGCTTCCCAGGTAGGTAGGTAGGTAGGTAGGTAGGTAAAGGAGGTTGTTTCTTTTAGGTTCCTCCCATTTATTTTGCTTGTTGTCTGTTATTGAACGAAGATTGGAGGTGTTCAGAAATTCGATGATGAACTTGCCTGATCATACGCTCTATGTGAGTAGCTCCCCACGGGCAGTTAAACTGGTAAATACACATGAAAGAGGTGAAACAGTACAGTCTGTCTTTATTTCTTTAACTAAGAAGTATTGGTTGGCTAGTGAATACACAGTATAGCTGCTTAGCTGCATAGAAAGTCCTTTTGATTTGGATTTTCCAGTTGATATATCGGGTCGATGGGCACTTGGTTCGAGCCCCAGAGAAAATATCACTCATGACTTACTTGGCGATGCAGGTACATTCGGTTGATGACTCTCAAATAAGACGAAACACATAGCCTACCTGGATTCCACTGGTATTCACTATCCACTAATTTGTTTCACGTTAAAATAAAATGAATTTATATATATGATATCATGAAGTTTAATTCTTATTTAATCTTAATTGATTATGTGTGTAACACTCATAGGTGACATGGAAACGTGTTCCTGATGAAATCGCCTGGTCTGCTGGTATTCAGCATATATTAGATAATCGAAAGAAGCATTCAGTGAAATTGAGATTAGATCATTGGAATCAGATCAGTTTGGCGTTTACAACCTATTTGACAAAAAGTAAGCTTTTCTGTTGTGGGAGGTGCTTTTTTCCCCGCCCTTTACTATTTTTTATTTTTAATAAACTCACACACACACACACATCAAATACTCAATATCAACAACAACAACAGCTGCAACAACCCAATAATACAGAAAATGCGTTTGATTGGACACTAGTCAGTAACTAGTGTGATGTGTCTAGTCCTTTCTTTGGTGCAGACTGAATTCTATCAGTCAGTTAGTCAGGTTTGCAATGTGGCCACCATTCTAGGTAGCTCGCTATCAGGGTGCACATTGATTTGATGATACTAGATAGTTGGAGGCAATTGGCCAGAGGAAGCCTTGACTGACGTAGGTTTTGTGCTATTTGGCACTCACCAGTCAGTTAGCAAGGCGTATCTGCGACCGCCTTGAAGGAACTCATGTCCCTTCTGAGATTCGAACCCGTGTCACCCAATGCCTCCTGCAGTCAGAGACGTTACTACTGAGTATCTAGTGGACGTCTTCCAAGAAAAATGGATATCCACGAAGCTTCGTCAAAAGAGACAGTCTATCCTCAAGTTAACCAACCATATCAAAGCCCCGCCCCCCACTCACCGCCGGCAATGAAAACACAAAGAAAATCATCCTACTCTTTATATACAATTTGTCCCAGAAATCATTACAACACTCTTCAAACATTTTGCTATTGATGTCGCACACAAACCAACAAAATTTCACCAATCAGCAGAGAAAGAAGATAAAAGTCAACATCCATTTACAAAATAGATTACAGCGACTGTGAGAAACAGTACATTATAGCGAAAATATTCATTTAGACATCTATAAAACACAAAGTAATTGAGCAGCAAAGAATATCCTTTCCGATAATTTCCTCTGCTCGCACTACAATTATATATACATATGTTTATTTACATAGAATATTCTAGATTAGTAGTCAATAACAATATTAGTGTTTTTTTAATATTATCGATTCGTAAACTAAGATCGAAATAGAATTACTGTTCATTAAAGGTGCTTAAATTATAATAATGATAATAATAATAATATAGTAAGGAAGGAAGTCTCCACAACAAATTGAGGATCATTCAAACCTAGATGGCCAAGGTAAGGATAATGTCTGAACTAACTTCTTTTGGGTGCACAAATTAGGCTTGTTAATATGGATCCCAAAGGCCAGCCTCAGGAATATTTAGTAATCGGGCTCTTAAGGCAAAATTGAGATTTGTTGGTATGCGTTAGATGACTTTGAAAGCTACCTCGTTGACATCAATCTTGTCTTCTGTATCCGCAAGATGAGATAGAATAGCGCTGCGAATAGATTTTGTTTGTTCTTTGCTTAACCACTTTGCAGAGTGATGTTCGGAAATTCTTCGAGAAACACGCTCAATTGTACGGTCTATGTAACTGGCTCAACAGGAGATATTGCATCTTTATTATTATTATTACGATTTAAGCATCCTTAATGAACTGTAATTCCATTGTGATGTTACTTAACAAATCGATATTATTTAAAAAACACACTAATATTGTTATTAACTACTAATCTAGAATATTCTGTGTACATAAACATATAGGTATATATAATTGTAGAGCGCGAAGAGGAATTTATCGAAAAGGATATTCTTCGCTGGTCAATTATTTATGTGTTTTATAAGCACTAGATTGACCACAGTGGACCCCCTCCTCTTCGTCTTTGCATTCATAAACACAAAACTGACCTTCAAAAAACTTGATATTCACCATCTCATATCATTCATTGCATGCAGATAACTACGGACATCATTTCGATTGGGAAAAAGTTCAGATACTAGACAGATAATGCATTTTCACCTCATGTTGTTTAGTAGAAACTTGTGAATCAACAGGTCGTAAATGTTTTAAATACTTGTCAGAGGTTATATTTTAATAGATTTGAACAAATTCAATAAGAGAAATTATATTGTAATATATATATTGATGAATGTTTTCGTTAGCTGAATTTATAAGAAAGCCGCCCTATAGTGGATTCGGATAGCGCTTCAGCTGTATGTCGGAGAACAACAACTCATTAAGCGAAATCAGCATCAGTTGGAATACGATAGATAACTCTCTCTCTCTCTCTCTCTCGTTAACTTCATGCATTTATTCCCCTTGATGAATTTGAATAAAGCATGAACACAACAGTGGTGGTTTGTGCAGAATAACAAGATGGTACCATCATTGCTGATTTCGCTGGCTTCTCATCAGCTGCTGCTTACTACAGCCTAAATAAGTTATGAGGTTTATGTACAGAAAAGTTTTAACATACTTGCAAATTTTTCATGATGTCAGTTGACAGAAGGTTCCAGAATTAGTGAACAGTGCTCAGAAAATTGCGCTTATGTACTTTTTACACATTCAATTCAAGTTTAAACGAAATACATGTATGCATCTAATGGCAAAGGAGTTACGTAATAAAGACGGGAGATACGTAAGATGCTGAGTGACTAATAAATTATGTAACAATATTCTGAGTTCAACTCAAGTCATAGAAACAAGAGACAAGCAAAATTACAAATTATAAAAGGGGGGTGAGGTTTAAGTCAAAGATTACGTAATCGAATGAGAGAAAAAAGCATCTAGTTACCATGGCAAGAAAAGACATAATTGCTTCTTTCTGAACACATAAATCTGGTTTCAAGCGTTTGATAGAAATTGGTTTGGCAAACTTGAGGAGAATGGAGCTCCTTTGTCTATTGATAATTTTGAAGGATTTCTCGATTTCCACCTCATGACCCGTGTCGAGGAGCTGTCTGGTAATAGCGCTGCTATAAGAGTTTGTTCCCTTGAGACGTAGGCTTTTCGGCACATGTTCAGAAAATCGGAGGTGTGCACTTCTTTCTGTTCTCCTAATGTAACTGCTCCCGCAGATACACGTAAATTTGTATACAAAGTTGGAGTTAACATGAGAAGGGTATCTATCGATTTTTGATTGCACCAAAGAGCATGTTGTTCGATGGACGGGAACCAACTTAACTGCAGGATAGGCTCTGGCTAGTGACGTCCTCAGTCTTCTGTTGACCATTTCTGCAATGTTTTCACCTTTAAAATCTAGTTGAATGAAGACAGGCTTTTTTCAACTGTGATTTGTTTGGTATTTAGGCCTTCATATCTTCCATAATTGTTAATGAAATGTAAGTATTGTCCATTCCATGTGGGCTTTCGGTAGATTGACCTCTGGAGACTGTCATCTTCTAGGCGTTGCATGGCGGCGACGTCAAGGAAATGGAACTTTCTATCATTTTCGTGTTCCATAGTGTCAACTGACAACATGTAAAATTTGCAAGTATGTTAAAACGTTTCTGTACTTAAATCTCTCGTTAGCATCGACTTCGTGGTTAGCATCTACGAGATGAAATAAAAAACAGACCTATGAATAAACCATTAGATCGCATAAAAAAAAGAAAAAGCCTTCAGCGATATTATTCTCAAACTGAAAGAAGAAGAAGACAAGAGACTTGGTAGTGAACCTTTTTATTCAGCTACGTGGCTTGGAGTTCACCAAGTGCTTGGGAAAATCGACCGAGTAACTATCTTGCATTTTCCTTTTGCTAACCAACTACACCGGACAATTTTCAGAGATGCGTTTGGAAAGTATGCGCTTTGTGCAGCCAATATAACTAGCTCCACACGAGAAGATGAATTTATAAACACACAATGGAGTGACCCAAAGCGGTAGTTTATCCTTCACACATCCACTGATCATTTGTCGGCTGTAGAAATTGATACGTAGTTCAACTATAAAGAAGGCTTCACCCAGTGACCTGCATAGTTTTCAAACGCAAAAGCGTTATCCACTAGGCCACTTGGTCCACGAGAGCCACCTCTTGTGCAACGGTGGCACAGTGGTTAGGACTCTCGCCGACCATGCACATGGTCCGAGGTTCGAGCCCACACCGGCGCATACCTGATATCTATGGTCGGCCTGCAAAATTTGGGCTACCGATATCCATGCTGAAAATTCCATACTTGTACCAAAAATACAGTGTGGAATCAAGCTGTAAATCAAAAAAAAAATTATTGAATTGCAGATTTTCCCGTCGATTGATTGGACCGAAGTGCTCTGTTTGTTGCCATTTTCCATATGTCCAGTATAGGAATTGAGTCATTCCGATTACATGTGTGATAAGGTGTTGAATCGATGATAAACAAGCTTCAGTAATTAACCTCTCTACCTCTTCACCTAACCACTATATTACTTTTTAATACTCTCACCCAGTCCCACCCACCCTATTTTGGGATGATTACATGTAAGTTTGGAAATGTATAAATTGTACTGATGCATCGTTATTGCTTGGTCTTTTTGTTTTGAATACATATATAGGTCTACAGTGTACGCTGAGCGGTGTTTTCAACGGTCCTGATATACCTAAAATGGGTATTGGTTTTGAATTGAACTATTAAATCCTTCTGTTTACAGAACAAATTAAAAAGAAAAAACACAATAAAACACACTTTGGTTTCTTAGTTTAAATTTTGTAGAGGAATTATTCACACACACACACGCATCACATTAACAACATATCTGCCTATATGTGCGTGTGTGTGTGTATGTACGTATGTACAAGGAGAAAAACAGCGGTGGCAGCAGTAGCGGCGACGTCGGGAGTAGTACTAGTACACTAGCAGCTGATTAGTTTGCTGTCTTTATTTTATTTCACCCTCTGGTTTTTCTCTTGTTTGCTTGTTATGTTGTTTTGTTTTGTTGTGTGGCAGGCATGTTTATTACATTTCAAGAAATTTTGCCGCTTTCACACATCGTCATCTATACATTCTATACAGTGTTTAGCTTGTATAACATTCTTATTATGGTGTCTAGAGGGGAGTGCTTTCTGCAAAAACGAAAACGCTTTTGGTTATTTGCATTTCTTTTTTCTTTGGTGTATTTTGGTTATTTGTTAGTGTGTTATGTAATGTAATGTGATGTAATGCAATGCAATGCAGTTGACTCATTCATTCACGCATTCATCGATCAATCTACACATTCATCTCTGCCTCCAATGTATATTCATTCACCTGTCAGATGGTTTTTGCCATACATAGCCTTATATATTAGAGATTTTTAATCTTTGTAATGTAAATTATTGAAGAAAATATACATATATAAAATAAAGCTTATTAATAATAAAGGTTTTTGTTAGCGTTATTAGAAGACAGAGATTATCTGAAAAACAATGTGGGATGTATTTGCGCTATACATTTCGAACAATCTGATCCCTCACACTTACTCACACACATACTTAACAAGTTCAAACAGCATTCGTTAACCATCATCGGGAAGGGAAGAAAGAGGGAAATTGCAACACGTTCGCCACTGATTACGATTCTTGGTCATATCCGATAACGTTTCGAGCCATCTATTTGAGTTATCTCTCGGAATCCAACCAGGGAGTCGTGATGCACCAACCGATGCTAATCTAGCACAAACATCCTTCGTTTCACGACGTCACGACATGGACTGACCACCTTTCAGCCTCTTCCATCCTGTCTCAGGGCTGGCTAGCCGTACAGAGACCTGTACGGAAGGCTCTGGGATGACATTCGCAGCACATGTCCAAGCCACCAGAGCCGGTGTTTCCAGATGACGACACTCAATGATGAATGGTGATCTTCACTGTATTCAAACACACGCCGCCGAACCTCAGAATTACTCACGCGATGATGCCATCGAACGCGGGCAAGCAATCCTGCGGAGACAGCGATGATGGAACACGTAGAGTCGCCGCACATCCTCAGCCTATTCGGAGAGGCTAGTTTTCACAGGCGTAGGAGCAAGGCATCATTTTTCATTTCACAATAAATGAAAAAGAGCAAAACGATAGTGTTGTCGTTTTTACTGATGTTTCACTATTTAATACTGCTGCTCTAAGCTTTATCAAAGTAGTCACATTAAACCAGAATTTACAAAATCCACTCAGGTTATATATAACGACTTAACTTAATCATCATTCCTCAGCATTGAGGGATTTTTGCTTTGTCAAGTTGGTCAGTTGGTAAAGATAACAAAACCAACTGTAGATGACTGTTGGATTTGATAAGTGTGTAAAATTGTAAAAGCAGAGTGTGTTTTTGCATTATTGAAATAGTTTATCCCACATTCGTGTTGATTTTGTCACTTCATGGGGGAGGGAAGCGGGTGTTGTAACCAGGTGGTCAAATTCTGTTTCAGTCCTAATCAGACAAATTGGATTCCATTTGATGATATGAAGTGCTTCAGATGGTATTAGACGTTCTTTGTGATTTCTGAAATCACTTTTGTGGTCTGATTCTATGGCATGCAGACAAGCTATGGCTGATGATTTTTCAAGCTTTTCTAGCTCACTAAATGGATTTCTTGGTGGTCGAACAGACGCTCTACGGTGTTCATTTCCTCTGAGGTTTCTACGATGTATATCGCATCACATTCCAAGCATTATATTTTTCAGACACATTTAGATAGAGAATCTTTAGGGATTTGGTCTTTTACATGGACAAGGTTTCTTTGTAGTGGGTGTGTCTGATGTTTTCAAGAAAACTCTGATGTCGAACCTATTGAGTACTCTTCTGATATCATCTGACGTCTCTGATCGGTATGGAATGACAACTGTTGAGGTCCATGTTTTCGGAATACCATCTCGACCATATTTAATGTCAGTGTTGATTCTGCTGATGAAGTTCATTGGGTAGTTGTTTTGCTTGAGAGTTTCAGTAAGGTTTGATATTTCTTCTTCTTATTCTTTCTCATCCGTTAACATCAAAGAGTGTGCTCGTCTTAGAAGACTTGAAACATCTGATACGTTTGCGCTGGTGGGGTATGATGTTCTCAAGTCTAAATATTTGTTGCTGAAGTGGGTTTTCTTCCTGAATATACATACACTAAAATGTCCGTTTTCCCTTCTCTTAACTAGCCAGGCTGTCGAAAAATGGTAGTTCACCAACGTCTGATTATGCCAGCTTCCGAAGTAAACTGGATTCTGACAGACAGATTGTTGAGTTTCTCTAAGAATGAACTGTGTAGATCTCGTTTCAGCACTACAAAAGTATCATCTACATATCTTAAACATATTTTAGAAGTGAGTATGCTTGTTGTTGTTGTTGTGTATATAGGAAGTGGAGAGATTGTCGCTTATTGACTGACTCAATTAAACATTATTCAACTTACAGGTAAGTAAGTAATGTTGTAACGACAGAAGACAAGGGCTAGGCAACAGGCCGTTTATTCAGAAAATTAAGAGATATTTATAGGTTTTTATGTACATTATTGTCAGCGGAGAAGCAACCTCTTCTGATTGGTTATTTTCTTGCTAAAGGTTATTGCGTACTACTTGTGACCGTTTCTTAGAAAGTTAAGCCATTTATCTGCGAATGGTGTTTGCACACGTCAAGTCTGCTGTGATTAGTTGGTGAGTTCTCATGACCCCGATTCGGGACGTCCTGTTAGTAAAACTAGGATTTCATCATGAGCTGCCATTAGTTAGAGAACCATTGGAAAACCAGCTGGGAGTACTGGACAGCTGTGTCATCCTAGTTTGGGACTCTTCAGCAGTACGCACCCACCGCCGGGGTTCGAACCTAGGACCTTCTGGTTACAAGGCTAGCGAGCTCGTAGACCAATAAGCCACTGAGACCCGATCCAATGGTCCTTGAATTCGAACTTCTGCCAATTCACGACATAGTGCGACCGCTAGCCAATGTCTTCGGCGAGTATTTGTCCTCACACCCGACCTGCTGCACCCTACTGGTCACGACTCGGTGAGTACGTACTGATGAAGAGTCCCAAACTAGGACGAAACAGCTGTCCAGTACTCCCAGGTTTTCCAATGGTTCTCTAACTAATGTCAGCTCATGAGGAAATCCTGAAACCAATCAAATCCCTACAAACTAACACTTAAAAAAAATAGGATTGGTGAAATGTTCAAGTAACTGAGGACAAAATCTAAGTAGTACCTAGGAAAATCTAAGACAGGAAGTGATGCATATAAGAGAAGCTTTGAAACTCAATAATTACCCTGATAAATTAGTCAGGAAATATGTAGGGAAATGTAAAAATAAAATAAATAATGATAGTAGCGATAGTAGTGATAGTGATAATATTAATGACGACATGCATTTCAAACATGCACAGGATAATGACAACACCAACAATAAGGAATCTAAATCATCAGGAGTAATTCCATACAAGGAAGGAACCTCGGAAACTTTACGTAGAATTCTTAACAAAGCAGGAGGAAAAGTGGCTGACATTCAAACCCACAAGCTCAATTAGAAACAAGCGTTGTCAGTTAAAGGATCCTATAGAGCCCATTGAACAAAACGATTTATTTTATCTAATATCCTGCTTGCAATGATTGTTAGGTCCAATACATGTGTCAAAGTAGTAGAACAGGTTCAGTCACTCAGGTTAGCCAAGCACGAAAACCTAGCAGCAAAATCTCGATTAGTTGACCTGAATAACATAAGAATTCTAGAGAATAGTTCAGCTATAGTGCTCACTACCTGCAAGTACACACAACCGTATAATAGGATGGAATGAGATGACAGTTTTAAAATCTAATGTAACAGCGGGGTGGAGGGAGAGATTGATAACAACGGAAGCTTTATTTATCGAATCAACTGAAAATAGGTGAAGTAGGAATGATTCAACACCTGTCCACCCAGATATCTGGAAGATTCTACTACTCCTGTGACGACGAATAGGAAAGAATGACGAAAACTTTAAAACTCAAGTTTCGAAGTCGTGTGATTGTAATTGATGAAATAATAATGAACAGCAATAAATTGTGTTCGAAACCTTATCATCCAGTGAATAATACTGTTTCACTGTGTGATACATCTGATAAACAAACTAATATGGAATTACTGGCTGATTTCTGATAAAGAGTTATTAATATTGGAGCAATCTGACTGCTATGTGACTGACATAGAAGCAGTAGGCTATTAGGTTTGGTTAGAGATAGGTTACAGTTAGAATAAGGCCTTTGACAGCGTCGATCAAGAGGTCATTTGGCAACTACTTCGCTGCTACGGGGTGCCGTCGACAATTATACATCTCATCCAAAAGTTATACGACAACGCTGCATGTCAAGTAATCCACAATGGGAAACATACGGAATCCTATGAAGTGGGGACGGGAGTGAGGCAAGGCTGCCTACTATCGCCAATCATCTTCCTGATTGCAGTAGATTGGATAATGAGACAGACAGCAGTGACCAGAGAGGAAACGGGCATAAAATGGACTCACACAATAACAACTTGGAGGATCTGGACTTCGCCGATGATATATGTCTGATTGACCACAAACTGGAAGATATGCAAGTGAAAAGCAACAAGTTGGCAGAAGAAGCATCCAGAAAAGATAGGACTACAGGTGTACATAGAGGAAACAGAGGTGAGTGATGAATATTCCTGGCCAAAAACAACAGCAG